TAGTGTCCCGTATCCCTACAGTATGCTGACAAGGTCGTCTTATTGTCAGTTGAGCTGTGCCTTAACTTTACATTTGATTTGTGTGTGGAAATCCTTGTCTTGAGTTTAGTTTTTGTTGTCCCCACATATACTTTGTCGCATAAGTGGGACCCGTCGCCATTACATGAGATTTTGTATATTACGTCAGATCTCGTATCTAGGAATCTTATACTTAGTGTTGCTATACATTTTTCCTAGTCTGTTGCTCCATGTAAATGCAAATTGGGCCTTCTCTTTGTCATATATATTAGAATGTTAAACCCTCTCAGATATCCCCGGAATATATGTAGCGGTTTTGTATACTTTATTCTCATTATAAGTATTTTCTTTATCGGTCCTTACGCACAGTGGTTTAGCCCCATACATTGTTCGGAGAAAATTAGAAGGAGTAGGCGTATGGCTTTAATTTTTCGTGTGTAGCCTCTAAAGACATAAATCAAAAAAACCAAAAATGGGTGTGACCGGTTTATTTTAAAGCCTACCTCCCGTACAAACCTACCTCAAAACGCCTTAAAAATGGCATTCAAAAAGCACCGATGAATGAAGGACTTCCAAATTTCGTCCATATATTTACAATAATGGAGTAAATAAACATGCAAAAAATTAGCAAAATCGATTTACTATAACGCATACCTCCCATACAAACCTAACGTCAAAAACGCGTAAAGATGTAATTAAAAGCACATCGATGAATGCACGACTCCGAAATTTTGGCCATATATTGTAAATGATAATATAAGCAAACGCCCTTAAAACGGCTGTAATCGGTTTATTTTTACGCACACCTAACCTCAAAAAACTTAAAAAAGTTACTAAAAGGTACAAAAAGTCCACGTACTATACAAACTGCATACTTGCGCAAGCTGAGCTATACAAAAAGGGACAGCGGAATATGTATATAAAAATGGTTCCTCAGGGTGGGTAAAACTGTTTAGACTTCAAGGTTAAAACAGAAATTTATTTTCTTACTCTCTATGCCGCATGGCACTTTTTAGTAAAGGTAGGCAAACAAATTTAATTAGTCCAGTATACATTTTCTCAATAACTCTTCTGTAAGGTTTGGATATCTATATTTAAGGTATTCGATACACTTATGCACTTCATGATTACTTTCAATTGCAATTTCAGCTAGCACTGAATTAAAAATGTTGAAATTTTCCACAATTGCTAAATTCGGTGTTAGTTTCTGAAACAGATAATAAAAGATGAAGTACAAATAATAACTCACCCTTTTATACTTTACCACGTCGTTTAAAAGCCAATTTCCTTCAATATTCATGATTTTTAATGCTTGGACTATTTTCGAATAAAAATAGGTTTGTTAGTTAAATCACTCTTTACAAAAAGAATTGCAGATAATTGCAGCTGGAATAGATAACATATTAATCCTAACTAGTATTGAAGTAATTAGTGCTATATCACAACCAATCGGACGGAGCAGAAAAAAAGATGTAGTCCATTGAATTAAGAAGTGCGCGGAAAAAATACTAACTTCTTTTAATTAAATATTTATGTATACTGGACGGAAAATCAGGTCATGTAATGACATTTTCAATAATTAGACATATGCCTCTTATGATAAACAATAAATTTTCTGTCAAGGTGATGTGCGTTTCGGAGTTATGTCACTTGAAACAAGAATGTATTTTAAAATTTTTTTATGTAGGTATTCAAACCCTTGACTTTACTGGCTTAGTTTTCAAACTTGTGATTATATTTGCTGCCAAATCTTGGAAAACCGGGTCACCCAAGGGGTGAAGTATTGGTAATAAGTATAAAAAACGACAAAATGTGACCTTCACCAATATAATTTTTTCCGCCTAATTACGACTGTGTGACGTAATAATTCTGAATGAGTTTCCTAATTAAGCAAGAGGGGAATTCGTTCTGTTCCAAAATTTGTTGGATGATATTTTTGTTCTTTTTATGAAAATGTTTGTCGCTAATAGTGAGAACTCTTCTAATAAAATTGGTTGCGGTATTTAAAATAGTTTTCCTCTCATGTTTCGAACTACAATTAATTAATCTCCCCGACGACGTAGGTTTTGCATACCAGTCAACTTTTAATCGGTTGTTCTTCCTGAACTAGGGTGTCCAGATATTGTAGTTTTCCATCTTTTTCTATTTCTATCGTAAATTTAATCGTCTTTTGGTAGCTGTTTAATAAAGTGAGCATTTTGTCTATATCTTCTGTTTTAATTATGGCAAACAAATCCTCCACATACTTGGTTAGGAGACTTTCAAATTTGGTCATTAAATCTTCCATTACTATGTCTGCTATCACTGGGGAACCCACAGGCATTCCTGACAGTTGCTCATATATTTTGCCATTATATTTAAAGTATCGATTGTCTTTTATGCAAAATTTTACCATACTTAAGAATAAATCCTTAGACAAATGTGTATGCTCTTTGATATCACTAAACTTCGAGGCAATAATATTTATAGCCACATCCACTGGGATACTTGGGAACAACGAAACAACATCGAACGACACTAAACTTTCGTCATCATATATATAAGTATTTAAATCCTGTTCTTTAAATCAATCGCGTCTTTAACATTGTAATTGGAAGATTTTGTAATGTTTCTAAGGATATTGACAACGTATTTGCAAAAAAATTGTAGGACGGGGACTTGATGGACGAAAAAATGGGTCTGAGGGGTATCCCTTCTTTATGTATTTTTGGTAAACCATAGATTCTTGCTGGATTGGCTGTTTTACTAATAAGCTTGTTGTTTTCTGTTAAATCAATGGCCTTGTTATTATATAATCTCTCCACTATTTCATTATTTTTGTCTTGTCATTTACTTGTTGGATCACGTTTCAAAATTCTGTAAGTGTAGATGTTGTTGACGATTGACTGCATCTTTGTATCGTACTCAGACTTGTTCATAATTACGGTTACGTTCCCTTTATCGGCATTTAGAACTAAAAGGTGTTTATTGTTCTTTAAAAATGTTTTTGTGGAATGTAAAGTATCGCGAATAAACTTATCTCCTGGAGAGGTAGAGGAGAACCGGATTAACTCCCAACTTCATCGACAACGCTACGAAAAATATACTTTACATAATCAACAATAATACCAGTAACAAAGCATTACTAACAAAAATCACCAATTCAGTTTCCAAATTCATCAAAAACGATCAGACCAAACTACTAAGCCTACTCATCAAAATCAAACATGAGCTGCTTGCAAAAAAGGAAAAGGAGGTAAATACTTCGGTAGGGACAAATAAGAAATTGGTGCAAAAGTAACGCGGGCCTTATGTTGTACACAAGGTCCTGCCGAACGATCGCTATGTGATCAGGGATATCGATAACTGCCAGCTAACGCAATTGCCATACGATGGGATTGTTGAAGCCCTGAAAATCCGTAGATGGCTCTTACCTGTCGCCCACCCCGAAAGTAACTCCGTCACTGAAGCCAGCAAGCCACCCTTAACCCGAGCAGTAGATTCGGAAACATAACCCCCACACCTTGATTGGGGTCAATCAAAAAAATCAGGTTGGCCGAGATGTAATGATATTTGTTTTAAGTAAGATCAGATGTAAACTGGCTATTATGTTGTAATGATATTACCCTTAAGTAAGATCAGATGTAAACCGGTTATTACGTTAGTGGTATGTTTAATAGACCTAGAAAAGTTGAATACAGAAAAAAGCAAAAGAAAGCGAACAGAGCGCGAGCTAGACTCGGCCATTTTGTCAAGAGGCCGCTCGAGACATTGTACATAAGTGAGAAGAAAAAAAGTTTGTATCGGCTAAAAGATTAGCCATCCGATAAATAAATACCTAAGAATTATAGAGCATCCACATTTGTCTAAGGATTTATTCTTAAGTATGGTAAAATTTTGCATAAAAGACAATCGATACTTTAAATATAATGGCAAAATATATGAGCAACTGTCAGGAATGGCTATGGGCTCCCCCGCTTCACCAGTGATAACTGACATAGTAATGGAAGATTTACTGACCAAATTTGAAAGTGACTGTTCTAATAAACCGCGTCTCCTAACCAAGTATGATTTGTTTGCCATAATTAAAACAGGAGATATAGCCAAAATGCTCACTTTATTAAACAGCTACCAAAAGACGATTAAACTTACGATAGAAATAGAAAAAGATGGAAAACTACCATATCTGGACACCCCAGTAATCAGGAAGAACAACCGATTAAAAGTTGACTGGTATGCAAAACCTACATCATCGGGGAGATTATTTAATTATAATTCGAAACATGAGAGGAAAACTATTTTAAATGCCGCAACCAATTTTATTAGAAGAGTTGTCACTATTAGCGACAAACATTTTCATAAAAAGAACAAAAATATCATCCAACAAATTTTGGAACAGAACGAATTCCCCTCTTGCTTAATTAGGAAACTCATTCAGAATTATTACGTCAGGAGCGATAAAGAAAATACTTACAATGAGAATAAAGTATAAAAAACCGCTACATATGTTCCGGGGATATCTGAGAGGATTAAACATTCTAATATATATGACAAAGAGAAGGTCCAATTTGCATTTACATGCAGCAACACACTAGGAAAAATGTATAGCAAACACTAAGGATAAGATTCCTAGATACGAGAAATCTGACGTAATATACAAAATCTCATGTAATGGCGACGGGTCCCACTTATGCGACAAAGTATATGTCCGCACACAAATCAAATGTAAAGTTAAGGAATAGCTCAACCGACAATAAGACGACCTTGTCAGCATACTGTAGGGATACGGGACACTA